AGTCCAGACTTTTATGAAACATGCTGCTGACATAAAATTTAAAAACAAAACAAAAACATTGTAATATGTCAACATTTGTTTGTTTTTTTTTCTCCAAATAAATAAAAGTTTTAACTTATTTGCAAGTCACTGCTTTTCTCTGTTTTTACTCACATTTTACAGTATCACAACTTTTTGTTGTAGGTGGATATTTGGAAGCACAATGCTAAACTTATTGGGAACTAGAAATCTAAAAAGTAGCCTCTATGGTGGAAGTGTTTCAGAGGTGCACGGGGAGAGTTTCTTTACAGGGAAAAATTAGATTTCAATCAGAAGAAGTTTTTGCTTTTCATGGGCGCTCACAAAACTTTCTGAATGCATCACATCCGCATGATCATCCCAATAAATTTGTGTGAATGAACAAACTGAATTAAAGAAAAATGCATCTATCTAATCATCATCACCGTCGTCGTCATCATCATCGTCATCATCGTCATCCTCTCCACTGCTGGGCTCAGACTCTTCATCGTCTGAACTGACCTCTTTTTTCTTCTGCATGGCTGTCAGATGCTCTGCCTCCTCGGGTTTGCTGAAGCACCCCCACCAAACAGTCACACAAAAAACACAGATGCAATGAGAAGGACTATTTGTGGGATACTGGCTTCAATCAAAAGGGAAGCAAATATACAAAAGACACTGGTTTACCTCAGCAAAAAAAAAAAATTATATATAGAGAAGGAGACACCCAGACTCCTCGACTTGAAACCAACCCAGCCCAGAGCCCAGAAAATCAATGAACTGATTCTTACCTTCGACAGTTCAAGACTTCTGCACTAAAACCCATTCACTGTTCCCTGGATCTTGGATTTATAAAATGACAAGGGCTGTGAAACAACAGTTGATCTTGCAGCTGCCGCTCACCGAGAAAGTAGAAGATTTTGCCCAGACAGCTTTCATCTGCCAAAGCTGTAATATAACCCATTAGTAGCAGGCAGCAGAGCGCAGTTAACTCAGTTCACCGCAGCAGTATCAGCTTTTCTTTATGTTGAAGACCGTGTACAATTACCTCAAAAAGGTGCTCTAGTTAAAATTGACATCTATAAAAATTTACAATAAAATAACCTGTGATTGAAAGATGCTAACTAAATGGTAAAATGCTAAAGATTATACATAAAACAGCCTCACTCATTCAGTTAGAACTGCTGCTGTGAACAAGTATTAATAACCACCATTATAAAAACCAACCACGATTACAATTCATAACCTACATTTAAAAAATTCTGTTACAAAGTACTCAGTAGTCACAATCAGGACCAACTTTGTAAAAAAAAAAAAAAGTCTCAATAGTATATACACACATATGTTTAAGCTCTAATACTGAAATAACTGAATAAAAAAAATACATTAATATTCAAGACATTCACAATAGAGGAAAAAATATAGAAGAAGATGCCCTTATCCATATTAGTCATCTCGTCCAGCAAAATCAACCCAACAGCCAACCAGAGTCCACACCAGTGCCAAAATACAGAGTTCTCTGGCCCTCACCACACAGTTGGGTCTTTGAAATCATGCTCGTGCAGCTCAAAGTCATCTTCCCTTCTCTTTTTCTTGTAGAACTTCACTGCCATAATGATAGTGAGAATGAGCAGGATTACACCACAAGCACCTCCAACTATGATCGCCAGGAAACTTATCTCAGAGAGGGACACTAGGAGCAAGAAAGAAGACAACAAAGTAAAGATGAATGAGCGACCCAGTGGTTAATCACACTGTCCTGCTTCATTCAATCATATGACACATACTAAAACGTTCTCTATTTCTTTTAAGTGTTTCTTTTTACTCGCTGTAGTGCTTCTGATAACGATGCGATGAACGAGTCAAACGTTTCATCTCAAAAGTAACAGAGTCGTCATATATGCGACGCATCAGTCTTTAAAAGACTTATTCTAATACATACACATACAAATGTCTCTGGTGCCCTACAAACTACTGACCATCATTTGAAGTTACTGCAATGAAATTTTGGCCAAATGGACCAGCCTGCTGTATTTTTCTCTGTCTTTGAATTCAGCCCTCTGTGGATTAATCATTTTAATTTCCATCAAACGATGTGGCATCTTTTCGCGCCTAGCACATCATCCAGTCCAGATCAGAAAAGATATTGAGCATGATCTTTTTTGATCCTTGTGAGCTAATGTTTTCAAAGTCTTCCTTTATTTGTTTTTTTTAGCAGTTTAGCAGATTGTTTAGCAGATAACAAACTGTGTAGCAAACCAAATCATGAATCATATCATTCAATCCACGAGATGTCATTTTTGGTATTGAGGCCCAATTGTCTAACCTTTGTTGACCACTCTGAGGTTGATCTCTCCAATATTGCCGTGAAAGTCTGGAGGGTTTCTCACTTGGCAGCTGTAGGTGCCATTAAAAGTTGGATTCACTGTCCGGAGAGTGATGGAAGCATCTTTTCTCATGATATCTCCCGACCACACTACGTGCCCTTTGAACTGCGGAGACGTTGGAGGGTGAGGCGTTTCGTTCTCGTAGTAAAACACCTGCCACATACATTACAGAAAAAGACAAAAAAAGGAAGTGCAGAAATAGAAAATATTAACACACACTGGAAACTTTAAACATATAAAACTAGAAGCTAATACAAGACTGAAATTGAGAGGAAGAAATGAGGTATTATTTGAAAGTCTTATGGACTGAATTTTATTCCATTTAAAAAAAATTCTATTTTATACTCACAGACTCGCCGGGTTTTGAATTCAGGGGTTGGAAGTACCAGGATACTGTGACAGAACCTGGAGTCACCGGATGAGTACTACTGAAGGTGCAGCTTAGTTTCACATCCGTCCCGTTGACTCCGTCCATTTCCTTCTCCGTTCTAATTTCTATCCCAGTAACATGCCGCACGCCTGAAATAAACACGACCAAACGAGAACAATCAAGATTCAAGTTAGTAGTTCAAACTGCCCATTTCATTAAACACAGGAATGTCCTTGACACACCATGTCATGTGCCTCAGACCTTTACTGCCTTTCAATATAAAACGTGAGTTTGTTACTTTCTTATGGCAACGACATGACAATCTATTCCACAGCCTGACTGTGGTTTTACATGTCTGCCAGTACAACAACGAACACAGCAAATTGTAATTTAACAACATCTGTACTTGCACACCTACTATGAGGTTAGTGTTAATCTACCTCAAGATCTGCTAACTCAGGGGTCGGCAACCTGCGGCTCCAGAGCCGCATGCGGCTCTTTAGTCCTTATACTGCGGCTCCGCGTGGTTTGGGAAAATAAATTAGTATTTAGCT